GTTGATTAAAGACGTAATCATCATTTATCAATTAACGCGATAATTCACTTGCAGTTTTTGTATTGAATGTACATGTTTTAATTACATGGATTAATTTCTTTCATGTGATGCAAATAATATAGTAACAAGTAACCAAAACACAAACATTAAAATAAAACATGAAATAGAACCGGTAATAAAAACAAACATCAGCAATATAAATCTTGATAAACAAGAAATTTAAACCACAGTATAAAGGATTAAAACTTTACATTTTTTGTTGATAAAGCAAATTGTTACAAATGTAGAAGTAACTAATTCTCTTATAGAATTACTAGCAGCCCCCCGTCTCGGCTTCGCCCGAGACTTACTAAATGAAACACCGTAGTGTGTTGACATGTAATGTGAAACATTTTCAGTTAGAAATTTTACACATATTTCTGATAAATCTTAGAACAAAAAACGTGCGTTCCTTATCCCATAAAATAATCGGTGGCCATAAAAAGCCGTTGATTTGCAGTTTCTCCCTTGTAATTCACGAAAACAGCTATTAAGATTTTAAACCCCCAAAAAATTTATATTAAAAAAAAAATTTTTTTCCTCATATCTCACAACTTTATTACCAGAGCAACAAAGTCCTGGACCTTAAACCCTACATTTTTATTGCCACAAAAACAAAAATACATTTTCTACTCGTTTAAAATTCTGAAGTAGGATCTTTAAAGATTTCAGAGATTGCTGTGAGGGTACAATGAAAAGCTGATCTCTCACGTAATGGGCTCTTAAGTTGTCGATTTTGACGCTGCTGTTTCAATCTCGATAAATTTTCTGCGTCAGTTTCTTGACGCCTAAGTAAAATTGTATTTATTAGATACACTTGAAGTTTTTCTTCCGATTCACCCTCTTGCGACTTTTGGCATGCTTAAAATTTGTGTGACCCCTAAAGTGTGTTTTCTGTCAACTTTGTTAAGTTCTAATATATTTGTTGGTAAGGTAGTTCGACGTCCGATGGCCCTAAAAAAGACCGGTGAGCTTCTTAAGTAAACTCTTTCTTGACTACAGTTAACAGCAATTGTGACTGCTTGGATACCTCAGGGTGATCTTCTCTGGCTTGCTGTTGAAGACCCAGACTGATTGGGAGAAAAGTTACTAAGTCCGAAGCTTTGGGGCTAGTTGTAGTGCTCTTTCCCAACGTCTCCCGGTATAACGTCAAAGACGTTGGTGTCTAAAGCACCTTTTTTATTTTGCAGATTCAGTTGATTTGGTGATCTTAGATGGGGAGATTGGTTAGTGATACTTGTCCAGTGGAGGCTGTCCCGTTGGCTCAAGTTTTTTTTCCTTCATAGCTGTTATAGGTTTGCCCAACGCAGACCTTGAAGTGGATCAGTGATTCCTGGTTGAATGCTTAGAGTCGAGAGGGTAGTATAGGGTCGTCGGTCACCGGGTTTTCCAGCCTTGCGAAGAACAACTCCGCAGGTGACGTTGTGCGTCTACTAGTGAATGGCTGACTTGGTTTAATAGTGCCCGTCTTTAGTTAATATAGTCTTTTAGTCGACGAATCGCTTCCGGAAATGGTAATAAAAATGTATTTGTTGGCAAGGTAGTTTACACTTAGGTGAATCCTAAAAAGAACCGATGAAATGGATGGTTAAGTAGGGAACGTAAATACTTATAACGGCCCAAAAAAGCGCAAGTGGTGAAACTTCCAGGCTATTCTTTATTATTATTCCTGATGATGAAGAGCCGGCTACGGGTTGCTTGATTCTTACCCTGGGAGTCTCGATGTACGGAGACTGTGATGGCTGACCAAAGAATATCTCGTCTCGGGTCGTTCCCCGGATAACCAACCGCTCATCGTTAGACGGTAACATGTGGGTAAGCGCGATGGGGACGCGATGATCAAGAAGGTAGCCGTTGTGGCTGCCCGTGCCCTTCAGAGCTGTTTTCCCTGGCTTAAATTTGTAGCAAAAAATTCTCTAACTGCACCAGGTGGGATGGTTGGACTGCCACACAACTCTGAAGAGTTGGTGCAGATTGTGCTCTGGCTAGATATGTCTCCTGGTATTGTAGCAGAGACGGCATCGGTTGGAAGTAATTTTTCTTTTTTTGATCGCATTCGTCGAGATTCAGGGTGAATGGACACCTAGGTCCCTTCCCCCTTCGAGAAGAGTGTCGTCCATAACCAGAATTCCCAGCTGCAAGACTGTCATCAGCATTCTCTATACAGCCCGTTGAACTGCCGAAGCTCAACTACATCATCGAGACGCTCCGGCCTATTATAACCACACTTATTTAATTATGTTGCAGGTAGCTTCGATTTTATGTTGACGTCACCTAGCGGATTCTACTGAACTAAAGTGAAAAGCTGGCGTATTTTTGCAAAACTTTGAGCTCATTTATTGCTATTGTTATTAAATTTTTTGAGATAAAAACTATACTAAAACCATCTAGGAAGTATCATGAATCAGTGTGCAAAATTTCAGCAAAATCGGTTTAGTAGTTTTCGCGGTTAGCGATTACAACGGTTTTGGTGAATTTGCTTTATGTATTAGTAAGATTGCAAATCGAGCTGTTAAACTTATTATCATTTCGTCTGCCATGTTACAGCATAGTAGTACAAATATATACAACGAGTAATTAATGAGAATAAAGGATAATTTTCACCTGTCAAGGAATGAATATTGATTGTGAGAACAACGGTCCTTGCACAATTTCTGATTGATCCTATTGGATTATGTGTGTTATATTTGCACGTGCAAGCAAATGTTGAGATTGTGTAGATCGTTTGTTCAATCCAATCTTAGTATGCATGTTGACCCTGTCGAGTATTAAAAACATGTCAATCAAATGTTTCGTAGTACTTATGAAAACGCAGATAAAAATTTACTCGTGTGCCCTAGTAGGCAAATTTTACATCTCGTTATGACGCATGCTACTCATGTACAGGTTTAGACTTAATTTCTATGCATGACTGTTTTTAAATCATTGCGTATAATTGTGAAATGCCCGCCTCGTACATACATAAAAAAATATGAATAAATAAATAAAGATTCACTCATACACAGTCACCCTTGTAATCACATAGAATTTAAACAGAGCATGTACGATATATTTAATCAGTCCCTTATAGAATCCATGTGGTTCAACTCGCAACAATAAGAATAAAAAATGCGCGACAGTCTTATACCAGTTCACCACTGCCATACGCACATAACAAAAAAAACAAATATCGACGCAACCACTAACAGCAAATTCCCTTAAGTTTACATATACCTACAGCACATGTTAGAATTGTGCAAGTTTTAACTCGTAAGACCTTGGATGCGAAAACAAACGACAATGTTTACAACCATTCACTTCTTAGAATACGCGTATGAATTTATCACGTCCCCATGAGCCATGCAATTCGTATTTTGATCTCTCACTAATCGACACGTGAGATTAATTCAACATTTTATGATATGAATAATAGGTTTGTATTTTTTTTTACCTTACAAGGTGAGATCGCTCTTCTATCGTCTATTATGACTAGAATTTTCAAGGTCCCAGGAACGAATACATATGTACACGTGACATGCCGAGGTTTTCTTGCTAACCTTGCAAATTGCGCAGTCGTGTTACGATATGAAGTGCAAGTAGGTTGATTGACCAGCCGTCCTGGATAAATCGCTTGAATAAAAAACCTGGATGAGACTTCTCGTGGTTGACGTGCTAACTCTCGCCTTCTCACGTGCTTCTCTCGTTGCTGCCTTTTTTTTACTGCCTGCCTAACGCCTCGATCCCACACCCCTTAAGCACCCAGAGAGCACCCTAAAACGGTCCCAGCCATCGCGCCATTAAAAATGTTCTCGATAGAACAGTGGGTTGGGCGATTTTTATCGACTTGATCGAAACCTCTGAAATTCTGGAATTATGTAAATAAAGTGTGCCAAATTCATTTAACGATTTTTATCGACTAGATCAAAATCTCTGAAATTCTGGAATTATGTAAATAAAGTATGCCAAATGCATTTGCGATAAGAAAATACTGGAGTCAACATCTTAATTGTTTCGCAAATCGCTACTGGAAGTTCACCAATTTAACACCTACTTTTATGGACAGTGGTCACAAAATCGACTATATCTTCAGAAATCTTTGATAAACCTCAAAAATTTTAAATAGTCTTTGTGTACTTTTTTACAAAGAATCTATAAAGTTCTAAAAAATATAGGGTCAACGATTTAACTGAAGAAGAAATCAGAATAAAAGTATGAAATATTAATCTGGTTTGCCTCGCAACATCGCCCAGTTTTTACAATTAGAATTACACGGTACTTTTCTGGCAATTTCTTGACCTTGTACATTGGTTTCATCGAAATAACTATATTTATTGAAAAATTTACCGTCGAAGAGCACACATTTTTTAGGGGCCTTCATGGCACCCTACCCTAGGTACAGTACCAACTGCCCAAGTCACCTTAATACAAGTATACATGTAAAGACACCCCTAATCAGATTTCACTGTTTTTTTTCAAAGTTATCGAACACACTTGTACCTTCTTTTTACGCATTTGTATATCTTTTGTAATGAAAATAACAATTATTATGTTGAAACAAGATTTTTTGATTTATTGCTGTATAGTGAATACAGTAATTTAAAAACACGGCAGATAACACCGATACTTTTTGGATATTGACGTAGAGAACCACAATGCAACTTAAAGAAAGCTGTAATTTTTAGTAACTCATTCTTTGCTTTTTAGTAGTCCGTTTGCAAAAGTCCATTCTTTCTGAGAAGTATAATCTTTAAATAGCATAGAACTAAAAAAGTATTTTCTTACTTTCAGATATTCAATTATTTTGTTATTTTAAATCAATCATTTTTATGTGCCAAAATAAAAACTGATGCAATGTTAGTTCTACTTTCATTGTGCAGTTTAAAAATTTATCCATCGTTGATGCCATAAGAAACTTTGTTTATAATTTTTTATAATTAAGAAAATTTATTTACCAAGTACAATAATAGCAATTTTTTTTCAAGACACATAACACACCCTGATGTTACTGAAGTCGAGATGGCAACAAGCTCTGGGATGTCTGGCGTATCAGGCACCCTGGACATGAGAGCCTCTACCTTGGGCAGCGAACGTGAAACTATAAATGCAAGCTCTCTGCCATTAAGTGTTAGCTCAGATACAGCTTTCACATCTTTTTACGGCAGCCAAGCGAACCTCAAGCCTTGTCGTTCAACTGCTCGGATACCCTCAAGTGCAAATCTCCATGAACCTGGTAGTGGAAACGCAACCATACATTCTTCCTGATCCTAAGTCGACGATATGACATTCTATAGAAACGTTCTACATTCAGATAGAGAATGAACAACTGTGACCACTGTGACATACATACACAGCTCGATATATTTCTGTATTACGATTATTTTACACAAAATACCATATTATTCCCCAAAATTAAGAAGATTTTTTCACTATTCAACAGCACTTTTTGGTCAATGCCTACTAAAAACATAATACGTACCAAATCTCGGGAAATTAATAATAGCATGAGAAAATTATTATCGCTAGTTTTTTGTATTCATAACAAACTGTTTAACTTTTAAATACCCAAGAATTTCAGCAAAGGCCACAAAAAAAATGGTAAAAGTGGCAAAAACAGATTTTTTGCGACGAGAAAAAAAAACTAAGAATCGTACAAAAAAAAGTCAAACAGAAAAAAGTTACAGAATTCTAAGACGAAAAGAATAAGCCACGTTAAGCTTTATTTGGTTTAGCCTTTTTCTCAAAAATTGCCAAAAAAAACCATTTTTGACCATTTTTGAAAACTTAGTCACTCGCGGTCTAATGAATATTTAGAGCCCAAATTTAGACATAAGGTAGATATCGTAGCTCGATATAGGTATCATACAACCAATATTGCTGAAATTTTATGTCTATGTTAAAAAACATGAAAAATTTTGAAGCTTATGTAAAAACAAGCATGTTTTATTTTGTTGCGTTAAAATGTTTATTAAACAAAACATATGAATTTTTTTATTGATTCTCACAAGGTTCATGTAACAGAATTCACAAAACGTAACTAAAATAGGTTTATGTAATTTTTTACTAGAACTATTTTTAACATAAATTAGAAAGAATTGTTTAACGTAAAATCAGAAGAATATTTTTTTTTTAAACCAGTCCTCTAGTAGTAGACCGCTGCACTTCTTACGCAATTGCATAATAATTTCATAAGAAGTACGCGGGTCTGCTTCTCAAAACTTACGATGTACTACTAGGACACAATTTACTAAGTATACTGCAGATGAGAGCAAGGGTTGAAAAAAGTGTTATATACGTTTTATACACCTAACTCATTTGATGTTTACAACTATTCGTGTATTCCTAGTCGTATGTAAGGAATCCAATTCTTTGTCCTTTAAGATATCCTCAAAAACAAATCTTCTTAACTTTGGGGAACTTCTCACTGGATTTTTTATTTTTAGGAAATACTTTAGTATAGTAAAGAAAGTTTATTAGATTATATGTAAGAATTGCAAAAAACTATTAAAAGATGACTATTGTTATTATATGTATTGTAAGTATTTTAACTATAATTATTGTATTATAAACACTAGTTAAATCTTGTAACTAATTTGTCAGTTAATAAGATAATGTTTAATCGTTAGTTTTATCAACTGAATTATTTAACTTAGGATTTGTTGATACTTTTCATATGTGGAAAATCTATTGTAATGTTTTATTATAGTACATGGTAGTAATTACTTGTGATAATCTATGTATGAAAATTGTTATCTTTTACTACCGAAGCTTTCATCACTCTTTATGTCATAATTTTAACATTTTTCTGGTTAATGGACAAAAAAAATACTATTAGATTTGAAAGGCCCATTCAATTAAAAAAATTTGTATTTTTTTGTTAAAAAACAAAGAGCAATAGACACCAAATTTCACTAGTTCTTAAAACTAAAAAGCTTACTTTACTACGCATGCTAAAAAAAAATAATTATATTATATGAAAACTGAAATCCAACCGTATGACTAAAAAACAACTTGTAAGGTTGTGATTACTGTTGCTTTCTAATGTAATATGTAGCCTTTAACAAATTTCCTTGTAGTTTCCTTTTTTTTTTTTTTTTTTTTTTTTTTTTTTCATAAGGGGGCAAGAAAAAGAACTTTTAGAAGACGTTTTGCAATCGGAAAACCAGACGTAGTGTTAGATTCTGAAGAGTGACTATCAATTGAAACTAATCTACTAATCTGTTTGCACGAGGCCAGTCAGTTAGGAGTTCATTCCCTAGAAGACAATAAAAAGGACGTTAGAGTTGAAGGGAAATGATAAAAAAATAACGGAGAATCATGGAGGCCAGCCCACTGTCAAGAAAATTAAAAGGAGAAGCTTTTACCACTGACACATCTGGGCGAAGCTTGAAAAGAAACAGAATTTAAAAAATTTTAAGCAACGTCTTAGTCCTGACTTTAAATAAATGTTTTAAACAAATGTTGTTTGCTTGTTTGCTAATTTAAAAGATTTTTACTAGGTGTTTAGAAACATATAACATGCTTACCCTCTTCAGTTACCGTTGTTATAACTTATTTCATGTGTTCTAAATATAAGATTCATTTAATCAAATTAGATTGGAGAATTATCTATGTCATCTGTCATCTGATAAATAAAAATGGTACCATGAGTTTAACCCTTGACCATTTTGGCAGGCAAGTCATTAAAAAAAAATTAGAGTACACATTTGTAAGATATCATTTTGAGAAAAAAAAAATATATATATATATATGTATATATATATATATTACATGACTGTACAGTTTTTTGTGACTATAATAATTTCTTTTCATAAAAGTATGCTTAAGACAAGGCAAAACTAGTATACAGTAGTTGGGGTTAAGAAAAATGTTCATTATCTTGCTTAAATGTTTGAGGTAGATTTTATCTTAACTGACTTTGACATCATTTCTTGATGGTATGTGACCGAAAAAGATTGAAAACTAGTTGAACGTGTCATGGGATACGCATTTGGAACGAAGTTCCTTTCGCATGTAGTTGGAGTACTTGATCATTAACGTACCTGTCTCTTCTTCTCTCTACCCGCCTCTCTCTTTAATATTTTAACGTCAACGAAGACCTCTTTTTTTGTGTGCCTTGATAATTTAATTTCCTTTAGGAAATCCGTAAAAATTATTAATTTTGGCCCATCTCGCTTACCCTTCGAGATATCAGGTTTTTTTTTCATTTTTTAAAGTTATGTTGTCATAAAATAATTTTGGAATTGATTCTGAATAGTTATAATAATTTTTTTATTTTGCATTATATTTTTCTCTGAGGGTTTAATAATAGTACATTACGCTAAGTGGAAGAGAAGTAAGCTTTCTCTCCCGCGTATGGATTGCCACCCAAGTGGAAGAGGAAGCTTACATTCCTTCCGAGCTGCGTATACGATCTTCTCTCATATCTGGAGGAAAAGACACACAACATAGTTTTGAATGATATTTTTCAATCGAGAAAGTTATCGAAACAAAAAAAATTCTGTAGCTACATCGTTCCACCGCTCCGTCTTCTGCTTAGAGTGCACATGCAGGTCTATCGCATAGATATAGGTAATAGGTACAAAGGCTGTATTATATGTATGGTATATTTCGTGTACTCGTCAATTAATTATTTCATAACAAACGAACTCAGCCAGACACAAAAGATTCGCTCTTTACAAAAACCTCGTTGGTTACTGAAGGACAAGACCATTCGTCATTTTGCACGAACGGAAGTAAAAGAAGATTACAGCGTACAGTTGCAAACTGTAACGATTATGCTTAGATAACTACATCAACTAATTCAATATTTGTTTTTCACTTAGAATATTGAATAAGAGAAATATATATTATTAATTAAATTGTAAATAAATTAAACTGAAGTTATGGTGCCGTATGTATAACGTAGGAATAAATATATATATAGACAATGTATAAATAGGTCACGCTGCGCCAAAATATATTGAGAGTAGTAGGAAGAGAGAGAAAGAACCCACATACATAACAGTTTCATGCAGTGGTCAAATGTATAAGAGAGTAGAGTTGAATTTATGACTGTTGACAATAAATTCAAAGGCCCTACAACGCTGAGGCATAATGAAATAGTTATGCAACAGATGACTGAGCCATTTCATTAGCATCAGCCTAACAAAATTGACGTTATCTTAATGTGTATATGTATATAAGGTTAGATGAATAAGGAGAACGATTATTATCACGTTTATATGAAGACTTCGAAAAGTTCAAGTGACGTTTTGTGTTAATCATTATTTACCTGATATTACCTGTGACGGTGAGATACCGTCAAGCCATCATCGGTAGGCTAGGACCGATAGAGAAAGAAAAAAAAAAAGAAAAGCGAAGAAGACAGTTGGGGAAAGAGGGAAAAGAGGAAAAGCGGAGAGGGTAGATTAGTTTGGGCCTGCGAGCGCACGTGAAGCGGTTTTGTTTTGTTGTTGTTGTTATACGCGAGAAGCGTTTTTTCTCGTTGTGGTGGTGTTAGCGACAACCCGTGATATTCGGCGACCACTGCGAGAGCAGATCTCACCAGGGCGGGCGAACCGCCACGAAAAACATCCAGGCACCGAGCAGAACCAGGTAAAAGAGCTGAGGAATAACCCTGAGCGACCATCAGCCTTTGTCAGCAGGGATGCCTGCTGACTTGACTTCGTCGTCCGTCCTCAACTTCTCGACGACCGGTGGTACCAGTACTTCAGGATAGCACCTGTATGTACCTACTAACAGGCAATTTATTGTAAAGGTCAGCGATCCTTGTTAGCCCACGTACTTAGTCTACCCGTACCGAGATTTTCAGCCTCAAGCACATGAAGCGCAACTGCTCGACGATTGTACCCACACAGACACACACTTATACTCGCGAGCTTCATTGTATTTTTGTTATAGTAATTTAAAATACAATATTTATTATTTTAAAACTACTCGCGAGTGCTCACTCCTTTGTATGCCTTATTTCCCCCCTTGTATTGTGTTACTAAAGTCGTCACGAGAAGCGACGACACCTGTAGCCACGATACCTAGTCCCAGCGGCGACTCGAAAAGCGAGACTCGCGTATATACATATTACAGGAAGTGTCGCTGAGGGTGTCCGGGCAACACAGGCCTGGTCAAGGTCGAAGTTTTCACCTCGGTTGCACCCCATAACATACCTTATCTGTAGCACAGGCTCAGCTTAGCCCTTATTACAGCCACATTACGATTTCTATCATGCAGCAGTAGGTATATTATTATTATAGTATTACGTCATGAGGCCAGAAAGTGGCTGATGAACGACCGTGTCGAGTTCAGCTTTGCCTTGGGCGGCATCAAGCGGCTGTCCGCAGCCATCTTACGACCAAGTGATGTATACGATTTTTCGTCATCCCGTATAGGAACGTTTATTCAATTTTAATTTCAATAGGTTGATATAATTCAATAGTAAAATTTAAAAAAATACATTTTTTTTTTCATAGTTCTTCAAAGGACACTAAAAAAGAACTTTCATCAAACGATGCTTTATTCTTAGTTTCCCAGTCCATGTATTTAATATATTTGTTTTTTCATATAGAGCCCGAGACTTTTCAGGTAGCAGTCCATTAATAATCGGTTGCGTTTGATTATCCATCGTTCGTTCATTCACACTCCATTAGAATCAATGCTTAAGGAACTTAAGGAAAAATAAATTGTTCAGTAAGCCGTACGTTCTTTAAACATTAGTTCTAATGGAGTGCGAATGAATGAACTATGGATAATCGAACGCAATCATTGACTTTGCCTCTTCTTCCAAGTATCTGACAGTTTTTTTTTCGTCAAACTCAGAGTCACTCGAATCGTCTGACGACATTTTTAATAACTATGTAAGAGTAGTTGTATTGACAATTCAATGCTACGAAAAACCGTTATTTTCCCTCCTTACTATTTTTAAGGTTGTACAAGACTTTCAGATAGCCATAAAAATTTACTCACCAGTACCTATTAGTAACTCTGAACTTGAAATAAAGTTTGTAAAAGCACGTCGTGATAGTTTTAAGTACACATGCACAAGAGACAAGAAATAGATTATACGGTAAATGATTAGTAAGTTATTAGTAAAAGGAGGTTAAAAACTGGGCAACGCTTTAGTTGATAGGAGCGAACTAACTTGACGCAACGACCAAGTCAGAAAAGAGAAGGCACTGAAAAGACGATGCGTACATGCATCTGGCTGTCAAGAAAAAAAAATACTTGGTCACCATATATAGACACAGATTTTTTTTTTTTTTTAGGTTCTGACCTCGTTTGAGGTATTAACACTCATATAGATATAGATATGGATATTCGTTATAGATACCATTTATACAGATAGATATTTGTTGCACACTTGAAAGCACAGACCTTGTAGAAGCGCCTCGCTCAGCGGACGTAAAGAAATCCCGCAGCCGTACATTTGCCGCTTTACGTCTTACTAAGTGGACGCAAAACAACAAAGTTTACTAGAAATTAATGTAATTTCATCGATGAATTGTATGTGAGTAATTAAATTTATCAACATTTCCCATTCAGTACGAGATTAATACTTACCCATCGATGAAATTACATTAATTTATAATATTCTTATATACTATATGAGCAAGGCGTCGACTGAAAAATAGCCGAAATTATAAAACATAGCAATTGGGAAGAGAAGTCACTGAGACCTTGATGGCGAAATTGGTAATTCACTTTCCCGGAAAAAAAAGAATTCCAGGTTCAAATCCTGGTCGAAGTGGCACTTTGTTTAGATCTTATAAATCCCATTCAAAGTGATTTTTCCATAAGGTTACATGTTGAGTTGTAAATTGTTTAAAATAAACATATGAAAATGGGTACTGTTGAACTGTCTGCTATTTTATAAGGATATTTCTTATTTTCTCAGGAAGTTTTTTTGAAACCATAGGAAGACTCGATGAAAGAGCACAATCTTGTACTGGCTGGCTGCCATATGGTTTATATTGTATTGTGCCATACAATTTTGTTTACGATTGTTCTGT